TTTTTTTATTCCTGTTTGTGGGAAAAGGATTTTACTATCTTTTCACTGTTTTGTTCCATCTTTATTAGTGTAATCTTGTTTGATATGCTTAATTGTTATTACTTTTTTTTTACATTATTTATATAGCTTACGTTTAGACAGTAATTTGACATATGCATTCAGTTTTATAACCAGGTTCACATCCATTATTTAGCCTTGTCCCGATGTTGATGGTTTTGGCGTACATTAAGCCTTACATATTAGTGACTTCTCTGAATTTTACGTATTATGTGTTTGGAATATAACTTTAGTTTTTTTTTTTTTAAATCTGTTCTGTGCCCATGCATATCTGAGACTGCCTGTTTTGGCTTTCAGACATGACAGGCAACTTGTTTGGGTATAAAAATCTTTGGGAAAACCTTTTCTTTGGTTACCTATAGGTGTTCATGCTCCATGGTCTCCTGGCATTTAATGTTACTATGGGAAATCTGGGCTAATCTTAATTATTGCCACTCCTCCCGGTATGTTTCCATGCTCTTTCATCATTGTCGTTAAGCTGTCCTTTGCAGGATGGGTCCGAATATAGGTTTCTTCTCTGATTTTGCCTGAATTTGATGTGCCCTTGTAATCTCTATAGTCAGGTTTTTCTGATGGTTGATTTTTATTCTATATGTTTCATAGTATATCTTTGATTGATTCTGTTCTGTTTTTTTAAAACAGTTTTATTGACATATAATTCACATGCTATAAAGTTTATCCATTTAAAGTGTACAATTCAATGGCTTTTAGTAGGTTCACAGACTTGTGCAACCATCATCACAATCTAATCTAAACGTTTCCATCATCCCACAAAGCAGTCACTCCCCGTTCTGCCTATGATTCCCGCCCTAGCCCCAGGCAACCACTAACCTACTTTCTGTGTCTATAGATTTGCCTATTCTGGACATTTCATATAAATGGGATCATACAGTATGTGACATTTGTGACTGGCTTCTTTGTTCTTTTTGTTTTTAAGTCCTAATAAGAAGCACTGATTGATTATTCATGTCTTGGCTTTGCTCTTTCTCCTCCATAGCTCCTCATCTCTTGATTTTTTCCCTTTCTGCACTTTTCCTTGTGTCTAAGAGTTCCTCAAGCCTGTTCTCTACCTCTGTTTCCGTCTTGTACGATTTCACTTCTCTTTATCGCTTCAGAGTTAATTCTGCATTTTTAGTTTCTTTACGGTTCTTCCCCATCCGAGCCTTTGTCTTTTGATCTCAGTCCAGTTTCCTCCTATGACTGTTTATTCCTGCTTCTCTCTCTCTCTCTCTCTTTTTTTTTTAATACTAGTTGTTTTTTGAGAATGTCTTTTGGCTCCTGCAGTAGATCCTCTGTGAGGTTAGAGTCTTCTGCAGAATATCCTGAATATAATTCCTGGTGTATAGGATGCAGAAACTGTAGTGTTTTTCTATAGGTCACAGGCTGATTTTGCCTCTTGGTTCGCCCCGGAGCAAGGGCCACTTGGTCTAACTAGGCATGTTGCACCTGATGGATTTGTTGTGTCACATGTAGACCTGTGTTCTGGGCACTCATGGTGGTGAATCTCCTGCCTCTGAGCAGTTGGATAGTTGACTGTCAGCCTTCTCTGCAGGTTCTATGAGGGCTTCTACTCCAGTCCAGTAGCCTCTTCCTCCTCTGCCCTCTCCTGAGCTCTCTAAGATTATTCATGAATAAATAATGCTTGCAGCTGCTTTTCCCTGGGGGTTTTCCTGGTTCCTCACTTGCCTTTATCTTGTGGACTACATTTTCCAAAATGTACTTTGCTGCTGCTAGGTACTCTTTCTGCCTGGCCGATTGTCTGAGCCTTGTGGTCCCTGTCTGGGTTTGGGAAGTGCATTCTGGTGTTGGGGAGATGGAGGCAGGTGTGTGCCCTCTGAGAGCACATCCCAAGGGGCAGAGGGTGCCCACTGTCCATGTTTCCAGCAGGACCTGACCCCAAGCCAGGTCTAGGAAGGAAGTCTAGCTACAGGTGTGGCTCCTCTGTTACCGATATTTGCAGCTCCCACCTCCTGGTCTTGAATCAGCTAGATGGCAACCAAGAACTACCACCACCTTCTGGTCTTCGATTGTCAGTCTGTGCTTGTCTTTTTTGTGTCTTCATGGGCACTTCGGTTCAGTGAGGCCTCTGCAGCTGGGACTTGCCACCAGATGCCGGCCCACCAGATGCCATTGGAACTGGACTCAAGTAGTTTCCCCTGCAACAGTACAGCTGTTTGTTGGCATTGCCTACTGTTTAATGAGGATCATACCCTGAGATTTATTTTTGATCTCTGAAGTTCTTTGAGCTTTGAAAACAGCTGTCTTTGGGCCCCCGATTGGGGAAATGAAAAATTACCAGGGAATAAAACTAATCCTCCTTTTCACCGAGCTGGGAGCAGTGTGGGTGGACTTGTTTGTTTGAACTGAAGGGTTTGGAAAGATAGGTTTTAATTTTGCTTATTTGTGTGCATATGAAAAATGTAATCCCAGCATCCGTTTGGTTTCTACAGCAGAATATCCAGCCTGCCATGTGGAAACCTGCTGCATATTGACATAAAGAAGCCGACTGTAACAGGCATGCAGTAACTGTTAGTAACCAGGTGGTGGCTGTTGTGTAATGCCAATAGCATTTCTGATTAGTTAGAGCAGTTATACAATTTTGGCAAGCCTATGTGGGTTATAAAAGCCGAAATTCCTTCAGCACCTGAAGGTGTCTCATGCCAACCACCAGGACGATCACAGCGTTGTACAGACACCAGCACAGAATTGGTGGCTGGGCCACTGATTAAAGGACATTTTTCTGGAGAGAGTGAGGTTTTACTGTGAAGGTAAGACCACTTTTGGGTACATAAACTCTGCCTTCAGGGATAGTTCCTGAGGCTGCATGGATTGATCAGTATCTGTGTGTCTGTATCTGTGAGTGTGTAGACAGTGTGTGTGTGTGTGTGTGTGTGTGTGTGTGTGTGTGTGAGAGAGACCGTGTGTCTACATGTGTATCTGGATCTGTATGTGCGTTTGTATTGGTGACTATGTGTATGGGGTGTGTGGGTTTGTCTGTCTGCCTGGCTTTCTGCATACCTGTGACTGTGTCTAGGTGGGTGAGGAGCCTAGGGGTCACGAGAGTCTAGGGGTCATGTTCATCCAGCTGCGTGACTGAAAATCTACAAAGTCTTTCTCAGTGCTGCCAGGCATTATTTAAATATTAATAACTGATCATGAATGTTTCTGCAACACTTAGAAGGCAATGCCTTTCATTAAATATGTGAGAAAGAGTAATAATACAGATCAGATCCGCAGCAATGAAAACGTCAGATTCAGTGTTTTTAAGATGCTCATTTACTCTGTTCTCTGAGTCAGGCCCAGTCCTGGGGCTGCCGAGACTGTGTGTGTTACTTTTGTTTTATGTAGAATTCCAGGGCTCCCATGAAAAGTGGGTTCCTAAGCAAAAAGGTACACATAGAGACCAAAGTATGTTAGTGGCTACCAGGGGCCGGAGGAAGCGGGGAAAGGAGGGCTCAGAGCTTAGGGGGCACTGAGCTTCTGCTAAGGGTGATGGACAAATTTGGGAACAGATAAGAGTGATGGTTGAGCAACATGACGAACATAATTAATGTCACTGAGTTGTGCATGTGAAGGCCATAGAAATGGCAAATGTTTTGTTATGTATTTACCAGAGTAAAAAGAAAAATTAAAAAAAAAAAAAGGAACACAGATGAAACAAACTTGAGGGAGAGTTGGAGTTCTTTTGATAGCTGAGCACTTATATTTTGTTAAACCTTTTAAGATTTTAGGGCTGTTAAAGTGTCGGGTTCAGACCAGGGCTTTGAACCAGTTCATTCTGGTTGAACCTTTGCTGAGAATTTACAGTTTTAACAAGCTCCCTGCTGCAAATTTGCATTTCCACCCCAGATATACTCAATCACAACTTGCATTTTAACAGGATCCCCAGGTGATTTTTAATGTATAACTTCTCATCGGGGAAACTTGTTAGAAATGCAGATTCTCAGTAGGGGCTTGAACTAGAATGAAGGATTGGAAGCCCTGGTTCAGACACCAAACAAACCAACAAAAGAAGCCATACAGCTGTGGCATAGGATTCTAGGTGAGTGCTCAGACACTGTGCATTGTGGATGTGTTTTCTGTGAATTACTTGGGAGGAGCTTGCTCCGTGGCAGAAAAAAAAAATTGTAAGATACTCACGGGCATGGAATGTTTAAAGACTCTCTTTTATTGAAGGTCCAGGAAAAGCTTTGCAATTACTACTTGGATCACAGCGTCCCCTCCTCAGATAATTGCAGTGCAGTCTGGGCAAACCAGCTATTCAGCCATCAGGTAATCCAACAGGGAGGGTTGAATTTCAAGTGGGTTCCTTTCCTTGTCTTGGGAGAGTAGAAACCTGCAGCATATTGGCATAAATGCGGGAAGGAGGAGAAAAAAACTCTTGGTAAATTGGATTATGGGGCAGCTGGATGGGGAGAAAAAGGATGTTTCAAGAGAGATTTGCAAATGTAATTTCTTCCAGATGATAGTAAGAAAGTAGGTGGTTGAGAGAACTAAGTGTTCCGAAGTCCAGCAAGACAGAGCAGGTGTAATGGTTAGTTACAAAACAAGGGAGAAGTAGAGCCAGACAGACCTCTCTCTGCAGGTGAAAGAAGAAAACTTGGCCTGGCACCTGGGGTGGAAAGAAAGGATAATAAGAACCTTCCAAAGAGGAATGGTGTGGTCTGAAGAGTACTTCAGAGAGAGTGCTGCTAATAGTACATTGAGCTTGAGGTGATGGAGTGGATGGTTATTTGAAATGCTTCTCCAGTCTAGGTGGGAGCCAGAGGTGACCGAGTGTCTCTCCTTCTGAAGGAGAGAAGGCTGAGTCATAGTATGTTCAGGGAAGGGAGGATGGAGGGAGAGCTGACACGCTGGGCAGGTGCCTAGCTGGGGCACAGTAGTGCAGGGTTAGCAGGGCAGAGCCATCCCGTAAAAGTTACCTTAGTGCCCCAGGTTGTCCTTGGACTGGAAAGGGGGAAACTTATCAACTGACAAAGGTCATTTGGAGACATGGAAGAGGAGAAAGCTTTTCTCTTTGAATTCTCTTGACTCCAACTCCAGGCTTTCCTTGCTTTCTCCGGCCGGTTCCTCAGCTTCCCCAGTGTCTCTTCCTCCATATTCCTTCAGATGTGCTTCTCAAGCCTTTTATGGCTGCTCATCTTTAGGGCCTTGTTCCCTTAGTCCAGAAGTGACACTGTGCCTGTCACTTTGGCCCTTGGCTTTTGCTCAAGGGTAAACTAACCACTTCTCTGTGCCTGTTTTCTCAGCTGTGAAATGGAGATTAATAACAACCCCTTCCAGAATTTTTGTAAGGGTTAAGTGGAATCATGCTTGTATCTCAGACATGATGAGGCAGTCGTGGTTCAGTGGTACACTTCTCACCTTCTATGTGGGATACCTAGATTTGGTTCCCTTTCAGCGCACCTCATGCACAGCCACCACCCATCTGTCAGCTTATGTGTTGCTATGATGCTGAACAGATTTCAGTGGAGCTTCCAGACTAAGACTAGGAAGAAAGGCCTGGCAGTCTACTTCTGAAAGTCAGCTAATGAAAACCCTGTGGATTACAACAGTCCAAACTGCAACTAATCATGGGGGTGGCGCAGGACCAGGCAGTGTTTTGTTCCATTGTGCATGGGTTTCCCATGATTTGGGGGCCAACTTGATAGCAGCTAACAAGAACAACATCTCGTACATGATAGGCAGTCAATTCTGTACAGGTTTTATCTTGTCATTACAATTTCATATAAACTTAGCTTTTCAGTGGCGCCTGTAATGACTGATGATTAATATATTTAATAGTGTTTAAGTAGAAAGCAACACCGTGTGCAAAAAGTGGTATGTTGAACCACGTAGTAGAAATGCAGTAAAACTCATCTTGACACTGCTTTAGTTTTCCCAAGTGTGTGTTTATATTCTGACTCTGGCCCACAGATTATACTTTTTGCTGCATTTCCTCCCCCTGCTGCCCTTTCCTGTCCCAGCCATAGAATTTCCCCAAATGTATCTGTAGGGCAGGGAGTAGGATTTGTTTCTGGGTATATGACTGACTGGCCCATGGAAAAATGTTCAAGTTTTCACCAAATATTGAGTGCCTTTTATATGGTACACACTTCATCCCTGCCCCTGTCCCAGCCTCTTGGGGGAGTTGGACAGGGAAGCTGTGTGCCATGGAAACAGAAGAGGGACAACCTTGCCTAACCCAGGAATACTCCGTGGAGGAGGAGTTTTCTGAGCTCAGATAAAGCAGTTACAGGTCACTGTGGTCAGTGTAGACGATGCCTGTGGCAGGGAGGACTCAGTGAGGATGATGAGTCTTAAGAACATCTTATCATGATTTCCTTTAAATAAAATAAAGTTTGGGGCAGAAATTTCTACTGGAAGATTCCAGGCACAGTAAGTGCGGTGGCATCTGATGCCTACAAAGTTAGGTCAGAAAAATAATGAGCACTGGTGACTTTGTATCTTAAACGTCATCTAATTTAGCATTTAACTATACAGTGACTCTTCTACCCCTAACCAGACAGTTGAAGGAGTCAGTATGATGACTTGCTTGGATGGCACCCGCCTTGTCATCTGGATAAAATGACCGGCACTTTTCATGGCTCAGGGTGGCATGCAAGTAGATGTCAGTAAAACAACCTGCTCTGGGCTGGTTTTTAAGAGCCTTTTTAGGATTTAGAATTCAGTCTGGGCTAGAGCCTGTTCTGCACCAGAGCTTCTCAGCCGAGCCTCGCAGGTACGTGCCCAGTTGGCAGAGGAGAGCAAGTTGTTCGGACTCCCATAGCAGCTGGAAGTCTTCTGCAGCGGGGTGTGTGCCTTAGTGTCTTCTCTTTCATTGTATCTGTTGTTGTGAACTGTGCTTTAGGCTCCATAAGATATTTGCTTCAATTAGGAATGCTCCCCCCGACCTACCTCACCCCATTGATGTTCTGGGAAAATTTGCCGCGTTCATCCAGTGGCTTTGCATGAGGACATGTGGCTTCTTTTTTAGGTGATTCCTGATTGCTCCGGCTGCATTCTCCCAGGGACCCTTTTCATCCACCTTCAGAACACAGGTTGTTGTCTTGTGGCCCCTGGTGCATCCTGGGGGTGTGGCCTGTAAGCGATCATTCCTTTTGGGGTTCTCTGCAGGTGGTTCCTGAAATGGAACCTGGCAACTGAGCCTGTGTCCCCCTTCAGAAATCCAGGTTTTATCCGGCTTCTTCTTTATTTTCTTCCTCTTAAGAGAAGGAACAAGTAGACAAATCAAGGCAGTGACAGAAGGCTGACAGAATTCCTTAGGTAGGAAAGTCAATTTTCTCGATTGTAGTTGACAGGAGTAGTTTGGTTTAGGGCCGTGGTAAACCTGTTGCTGCCGAGACCATTCTGACTCATAGCAACCCCATGAGTAGACCTGAGCTCCAAAGAGTTTTCTTGCCTGTAATCTTTATGGAAGCAGATTGGTGCCATTGGGTGGGTTTGAACCACCAACCTTTTGGTTAGTAGCTGAGAACAAACCATTTGCGTGAGATTATTGTAATGAATTTTATAGAGAAAGGGCACTCAGAGGCCATTTTTCTGGGTACTTTCTCCATTGCTGTGATAAAGGGGATATTATGATTTTTTTTGTGATCAATGTCATGGTCTTGCACCATCTTGGCGAATTATTTCTGTGGGTGTGTTAGTTTAAGCTCAGCAAACAATCTGATTTATATTGGGTGCTTGGAATATTTCTTTATGTCACTAAGCAGAGCTTTTGTTACATTGCTAACGATGTTCAGACTTTTTTGAGTGACCCACAAGTACAAAAGATTTTACCTTGAAACTCTGTCTTACCCTTATCTTGTGAGATATAGTCTGAAATTTTTTGTTCTGTTAATTTCATTGTTTTTAAAAATTCTGGTCAGGCTCCACCAAATCAATTTCATAGCCCACTGTGGGTTTTTGAGGAAGTTTGAAATATATGAGCAAGAGTTGTTGAAGTGTTTTGGAGAAAGCAGTAGGATGATTGACTGAGTTTTTTTTAGTCACATCCTCTGAGCATAGCTGTCATCACACTATTAAACAGTAACCACTACTTACAGGTTCATTCATTGCTGCTTGTCGTCATTAATAGAGTAATTGTGGCTGGAATCAGCGTCAGGATTGTAAACTCCCTGAAGTAGAACTCTACATATTAGGTAACCATTTAACATCATTTCACTTAAATGGAGTTGCTCATCTACAAGTTGAGAACATTTGTTCCACTAATCTTTTTTTTTTTTTTTTTTTAAACTTTGGGATTAAAAGCGATTAGGTCAAATGTTAACATTTACAGAATTTAA